TAAAAGACTATGTCTAATTTTTATAGTGGCCTAAATACTGTGAAGCCATCATTAACAGCAAAAATGTTGTCACAATATGAAAACTTAATTAATATTTATTAGTAATAAAAGCATTGTTGCTAATGTTAATGTCCGGAAACAATCGTTTACTTATAGTGCTTTAAATTATTTGCTTAATATGATTATATATATGATGAAAAGAAATTATTAATGACTAGATAATGGTCCGAAGCAAATTCATGAATTTCCGTTGGACACGCATTCGATCTGTCTTTTACGACGCGACGTATATAGATTCCTTATACAACCAGATTAATGGAAACTACTAAAAGTCCGAAGGACAACGTAATTGTTTACTTTTCTAATCATTTGATAATGTCACTGGAATCCAACGGTGAAAAATTAAAATTTTATTGTGAAGACTTTTTATGCTGTATCCATAGTTATCAGTTATATATAGGGATTGGAACCGTTTAACCGTTTAAAAATTGCTCCATAGTTCCAGGCAGAATTATGTCGGTCGCGGGCCGAAATTGTTTTAATACCGGACAAATTAAACTGTTAAATGGTTAAGCGATTAAGAAAAATTTTAGGCGGCTCCAATCCCTAGTTATATATTTGAATTATATTTTATTTTAATAGTGTTAGAGTACAATCGCTTGTCATCAAAAAAAAAACTATTAACTTTGATAAATAACAACTAGCTTTTACAAAATTACAATTGGTGTTAATTTTTCAGTTAAAATTTTACTGTATGGATGCTGACAATTTGGAAACTTTTCTGTGCACAGCGAATAAAGAATCAAATCTATATATAGCCTTATATGAAAATCAATTAGTGAAGACTATTGTGTAATATTCATAATAAAATACTACGGCAACAGTATAATTTTGATAAAATCTAACGATATCTGTAAATCTTATCATCTAAACCAAATTCGAATTTAACTACAGTATTAAAAAACGCCCCCAAAAAAACGCACCTCAAAAGTTTCACATTAAAATATTTAAAATTTCCAGCTTCATTCGCAACATTAATGATATTCATGAATATATTAGAACTTATAGGAATAAATATCCTTTATAAACACTAAACATAAAATCTAGAACAATGCGATGGATCACATACTAGTGTTATTTGATTCTGTTGATTCTTGAATTTATTAAACAAGAAACATTGACATGCAAGTAACTTTTAGTTTTTTACGACTTATCATGGTCGAATCAAACGCGCAGTAATTTAAGATTTGATTATCACACATTATTGCAAAATTTTATTTTATATTTTAACATTTCTTTCGAGAAATTCATATAAGGTTTTGCCATTTTCAGCACCAATTAAGATTTGTAACTCTCTTAAAGATAATTCTGTTAATTCGCGCAAATTTTCAACTTTAGCCATAATATGTTTATAGTTTTTTGCGGTTATCCCGGGTAATGCACGAAGGATATCCTAATAATAAAATTTTCATATAAACATATACATATAAACTATAAAATCAGGAGGATAAAAAATTCTTTACCTGTGGTGACAAGTTATAGTCGGTGATATCCTCATTTTCTACTCCGATAGACTGCGCCGTTTCAAGGTCAGGCTGATCGCGTGATTCCTTTTAAATTATAATTGAAGGACTTTCCATTAATGTTCTGTCAAAGCAGTATTGTACTAATAATATGGGGTTGAGTCAATAGAAATCAAGCAAATTTTTTCTAAGTAAATTTTTTTGAAACTTTAAACAAAGATAGCTTAACCAAAACTTTATCAAATTTAATAAAAACTTTTTAAAATAAATGCTACAAGTTTGTAGAATTCATTTTGATAAGTTTGATTAAGTTTTTGTTGAGTTATTGTTGTTTAAAGTTTCAAAAAAATTTCAATAAAAACGATTTACTTGATTTCTATTGACTCACCCCCATATTAACTTACCTTTAAATCCTCAAATATTTGGACGGTTGCGTGAGGACTTGAAGACCAAATAATTTTTACACGAGGAAATGTCAGAGTAAGCATTGCTAGTTTTGAAGAGATATCATAGATGTTGATGTCAGACTTCAAATCATTTATTGCCTAATGTAAATTTAACAATTGGAGTGAAAATTAGAATATGCCATGTCTTCTATAAAAATTATAGATTAAAAAAACCTACTTGAAGCGTAAACGTTTGGTTTTGTTCAAATTCAATTAATAATATGGGTTGTTTATAATATATTGACATGGTTTCGCACTGCGTATATCTTTTATGAAAGTACCAAGTATATTAGTTTAGGTCATTTCTTGATAAATACTTGGTAATACTTACAGTCTTCCCGAGGTAAAACTCCCAATTAAATCAGAAATAGATTTTCTCTCAACACAAATATCAGGTGATAAAATATAATCACCAATTTTTAATGTGCAGGGAAGGATTTCTATCCCATGTGCATGAAGAAGCGACGGTAAGCTACAACGAAATTCTCGAATGTCTACTATGATCTAAGTACGTTAAGTTAAAGTTATTCGCAGGGATAGGCATGAGTATTTTCTAAGATTTGCCAAATTGCTTTTACCTTATGTGCAATTGGCTGAGCGATTTCTCTTCCACCCGCTATACGAGTATTAGCTGTTCTCAAAAACATATCATCCGGATTACGCGAAATAATTCTCGGCTTGCCCAAAGGAATTGCCATTACCTTTATTTAAATAGTATTAAGATATATATATATTACTATGCCAAAACATTTATTGTTATTGGATGAAAAAGTGACTTACAGAATTTTCTTTAATTAATTTTTCAAAAGCCTCTTTTTCTTTTCGTATGGCGCTTAAATATCTCTGTTCTTCTACTGAATTTTCATAAACCATGAAATATACTTTACATGATATTCCGGGATGTATTGCGCGGAATGTCTATGTATTTTATTAAAAACAATCGTTCAACATAAATTTATAAATTTTAATTGGGGATGCGCTTTGTTCTTTACCTCGACGCGCCTAACAAATCTTTGATCTGGATGATAGATAATTATATATTTAGGCTTTAGCGCCTCTAACATTCTATCGTCATCTCCAGAAATTGGTCGAATAATAACCAAAGATTGCAGCGGAAGAAGTCCAAAGTATGTTGAAAATGCTTTGGCATCAAATTCGTCATCATCATACATTTCACTACTTTTTGAAGCTTCCTTTTGTGTAGAGCTTGCAGCAAAGGATGTAATATTATGATTGATACTGTATGATTACATATATATTAGGCCAAAAGGCACATGAATTATCAAAACGAATAACAATGACAAACAAAACACACAAATTTGCTATTTCTTTAGCTTCTTCTTCGATTATTGAGACAGTAGTTCGCGTTGACGATACCGCGGCAGCTATCGATCCTCCACGAACACGTCTTCGTTTGTTAGGTGGTTGTTGTCCACGTTGATACTGCTTTTTCGACTCTTTATTTTATCAAAAGAAAAAAAAAAAAAGTTAGAGAGAAACATTATACATGACCGATATTTATATTTAATTTACAGTGACTACCATACCTGAAGATGTTGCATTTTTATTATTGCTCTCTTGGCTATCCTCACTTTGATCAG